ACCTCAGACCCTCTGAACAGCCAGATAAAATAAAATAATAAAATTCCAAAGGCACCCAGGATGATTTCATCACAATATTTTACAATTTTTGCACCCTTTTGCTATTTAAGAGAAATAGCAAAGACTATTTCTCTTAAAGAGAAATTTCAGACTTCCATTAATAGACTCCTATAACACACTGCAACCACCCAGCTTGGACTTGATTTTTTCCAATTTCTCACAACATAAAAATTTGTTTTTCTGCCTAAATATTGCCAGGGATGGTCTGGAATTTGGCACTCACTTGTTCATGAGGTCGAAGCCCTGGTCAGAGAGCAGAGCCCCGAATCTTTTGCGCAGGTTGTTGTAGGGATACTCTGTGAAGGTCATTTTCTTCACTGCTGGCAGCTCGTTGTAACCAGGCCAGATTTTTTCACTTGGAGTCCCCAGATCCTGCAAATGAAAATATTTGCTGAATAAATTCAGGGAGTAACTCTTGATTTGTGCATTAGGGGTTGGGAAATATCCAGAGAAAACAGACAAAATAAAATCATGGTCTCAGCATATTTGCAGTGTCATAAAGCAGATTAAAAAGCTTTTTATTAAAGCTGAATCTCTGCCAAAGAGCAACAAACATTTCTACTTTTTCCTACTATCTCTAAACTCAGTCAGAATCCAAAAAGATTTTAAAAATTACCTTAAAAACTTTGTTAATCTGGTCGATTTCTGACTTTCCTGGGAACAACGGCTTCTGTGTCAGCAGCTCCCCGAAAATACAGCCCACTGACCACATGTCTATGGCTGTGGAATATTCCTGGGAAGCAAGGAAATAAAATTAAAACCTCAGAAAAATCAGGAAGAGATTTTCACTGGGTTGTTTGAAGGGTTGTTGTGGATTTTGGGGGGTTTATTTGGGGTTTTTTTTAAAGATTCTACTCTCTGAGCAGAAAGCAATCAGTTCCATACCCCAGGTCTCAAGGGTATTTATTGAAAAGTTGTAATTGTGACAGAAAATGGGTTTTTCTGTTAAAAACCCAACTGATTTTTGTARAACAKCAGAACTCCAGAACTCATTTACTCAAGAGGAGCTCACCTTTGCTCCAAGCAGCAGCTCTGGGGCTCTGTACCACARTGTCACCACCACAGGGGTGTAGGGTTTCAAGGGGGATCCGTATTCCCTGGCCAATCCAAAATCTCCAACCTGAAAGGAAAATCAACATTTCCAGCACTGCACATTCTCAGCTCTGGAACAGCTTTAACTCTACAATCCTGCAGCACAAACTTTGTCTGATTTCCTCACTTTTTTCCCAAATTCTTACCTTTAGAATGCCTGAGTGACTGAGCAGCAGGTTGGAGGTTTTCAAGTCTCGGTGTAGGATCCAGTTGTCGTGGAGGTGTTTGACCCCTCGCAGTAACTGAATCATCAAGGTCTTTACTTCACCTGGAAGGAGAAAAAGAATTTAAAAAATTGTTAAAAAATGAAAAAAAATAAGATAATAAATCTACCTTCAGTTTTTGGTTTGTGCATTTAAAAGAGTAAATCTACTTTTAGTTTTTGCTTTATGCATTTAAGACAATTTAAATCCACCTTCAGTTTTTGGTTTGGGCATTTCAGAGACTAAATCTTTTAGTTTTTGCTTTGTGCATCTAAGAAAAGAAATCTACCTTCAGTCTTTACTTTGTGCATTTCAGAGAATAAATCTACTTTTAGTTTTTGCTTTGGCCATTTAAAAGATTATATCTACCTTCAGTTTCTGCTTTGTGCATTTAAAAATCCACCTTCAGTTTTTGTTTTGTGCCATTTCAAAGAATAAATCCCCCTTCAGTTWTTGCTTTGTGCATTTCAGAGAATAAATCCACCTTCAGTTTTTGGATTTTTTGGAGAACAGGGAAGGAGAGGCAGTTAAAAGCACAGTTTAACCTGCACCATAAAAACGTGTCACAGAACAGGAGCAGTTACACCCACAGAGCTGCCAACAGAGCAAAATTCGTTTGTGTAGCTGGAATGCACCCAAATTATGCTCAGAAATGATTGCCTCTCCTAGGAAAGAGCCAAAATTAAAACCCAGAGCTCTTTTCCAGTTCAGCACAGGGGAAACTCCCCCAGTTTCACCTCTGAACAGCTCCAAACACAAGAAATGGATTCATCACCACCAGAACAAACAGAAAAAAACAGGAAATCTCAATTCCAAGGAATATTCCCTGGCACTGCACAAAGCCAGGTGATGTTGCCAGCAGGGCACTGCCATTTTGAATGGCCAATTTTGAATTTTGGGGAATTTCAGGAGGATGTGGTGAACAATACCTGGTAGAAAAGGCTGTTTCATTGTTTCCATCAGGCTCTTGAGGTCGTGTTCCACGTAGTTCATCACAATATAGATTTTATCCATGTTGCTGCCCACGACAATTTCCTGGAACACAGAAAATGATAATCAAAACCCGCACATGGTGTTTAAAAATCATCCAAAATCCATTTCAGAAATGTATTTGCATTGGTAAAATCCTCAGAAAATGTGTTTTTTCTGTTAAAAACCCAGCTGATTTTTGCAAAACATCAAATTATTCAGACAGCAATGTCTATAAAACATTATGAGCAGCAACTGTGCACAGAAAGGCATTTAAAAGCCAAGAGAAATATTTAAACAACAAAAATACTTTGGACTGAAAAAAAAAAAAATGCAGCCTTACTCTGACAGTGACAATATTTAGGTGCTGTGCTTTCAGAATTGTATTTATTTCTCTCAGAGAAGTAATGGGAAAACCTTCTTTCTCCTTCTCCATTTTCAGTCGTTTCAGAGCCACAATTTCATCTGCAAAAAAAACACATTTCCCATCAGATATTTAATAAATTCACATTGATAGCTCCCCCAGTGCTCTCTCACTGATTAAATGATGAATTCACTAATTAAATAATGAATTAATTGCGCTGTTTTGCCTTGAAAACGAGCAGATTGCTGGTAAAGAAGTATTTTAAATAGATTTTGTTTGCAGAAAACCATAATTTGCAGCCCTAAATATGCTGAAGGAATTGATACTCACCAGTTTTTTTGTCCTTTGCCCTGTACACCACACCGTAAGTTCCTTCTTCAATCCTGTTCAAACACTGGAATTCCTCCACGCTGCGACAGCCCTGACAAAACAGAGGGAAAACATTTATTCCTCCAGCAATTTTTTCAATTTTAAAACCTTTTTAACCTTTTAAAAAGGTTTTAAAGGGTTTTTAAGAGGACAAAAACTTTAGCAATTTCCTAATTAAAATTTGACAGAAAAATTCAATTGTACACCCTATGAGAAAGGTATTTTTGGGGTTTCTTTTTCACTTTCTAAAGAAATCCTGGACAGAGCTGAAGCTAAATTAACTGATTTACTAAATTACTAAAGCAATTAACTAAATCACTTCATAAAATCATCAACCACTCACTTTTGCACAGAATAATCTGAAATTTCTGCCACAAAGGCAGCACCTTACACTGCCACCTTTCA